CTTAGGAAACTCAGTCCCTTCGAAGTGCTTTAGCCCTAAAGCTAACAAACTGAGAGAGGAGCAATGACACTCAGGCACAGTCCACAGTCCACCCTGCTGAGAAGCCTCCCAGACGAACTCCATCCACATCCCATAATGCACTTTTTCTGCATCTAATTCTTGTACAACTTAATGGCAATTCAACAGAAAATTTCAGGTATTTACTGAGCGCTACTAAGTACTGTACGAGTAAGACTCCATCAGGAGTGCACAATCAGGTGGGAAGAGGAAACGCTAAGCATAAATCCCTCACAAGTATCAGATCATGATGCGCTTTATACTCATAATATAAGTGAAGTTTGAAAGGAAGGAGAATAATTCTAATAAACAAATAAAAGATGAATAATGGGCACCACGTCAGGCACATTAAATCGGCAACAACACTACCTCCCAACAAAACATTCAATCACCGTTACCCATGTATGTGTGCTCATGGCGGTGCGGCTGTGCATATCAAGAGCTATAAAAGTGGTCACGACCTTTATCCAATAATCTCACTCTTGAGAATTTACCCAAAAGGATAAACTCAAAAGATGTTTAAAGGCTCTACACACAAAGATCGTGGGGAAGCCTCACTTACAGCTAAAACAACCGGGGGTCGGGGAGTGGCAAACTAAAGGACTATCTCAGGGCCATTAGTATTTAAATATTAATCGTAGGGCTTTAAAAGACAATATATGGAAACAAACAAACGAAAGGACAATATTAAAGCACACAACACAGGAAAACAATTTCAAGAAGACGTTAGGTTAAAAAAAGCAAAACCAAGGTACACTTAAGTTGCCCATAATTACGTAAGACACACAAAAAAGAAAAATCATTCATCTTGGGGTGATTTAGGATAATGGATCAAAAAAATTGCTTTCTTCTGAAAAATTTCCTCTAACACTATTATGAAATTAGTTTTTACAATAAATAAAAGAAACCATTTAAAATGTTTCAAAAATGTGCATGTCATTCCCTCAAAGAGCAGGGTTTGGCACTGCTGCAACAGGCACACACGGAGAGAGATCTGTGCCCATCTACACTGCTTTCCTTCTGGTCCTGTGCATCCAGTCTTTATTATACATGCCTTATCACTCCTAAGCTCCTCAAAAAAAAGAACTCAGTCTTCTCCTTGGGATATTTCGTGCTTTTGTTCCCCTACAATAAATCCTTACTTGTCCTCAGCCTTGGTGAAGAAACTCTTATCCTGGGGATTCTTTGCCTTCAGAGAACACACTGGAAGTAGCTCTGGATACATGAAAACCTTGCTCGTGGCTAGGATCCAAGCTACTTGCTTTGGCAAACAGGGAAATTCATAGGCTGTAAGGAAAAAAATCTGTGATAAATGACATTCTGTAACAAAAGAGGGCTTCACAAAAGCTTCTGAATGCGTTTTTGTATTTAGATAGAGCTGCCCCTACCTAACTCGGTGCCCTCCCACCCATCCACCCTCCCACCCAAAGGTTCCATAGTCTTTCTCAGTCTAACATACACCTTCTGAAAGGAGTCCCATTCACTGTTATTAAAAGTTCATTCTCTTATTCTTTCCTAGGTGGAACACTTAACACACTAAGTAATATAAACACTTACAAAGCACCTTGTAATACCTGGCACATAGTGTATGCTCAACAAATTTTTACCTCCTTCCCCCTTTAAATCCTTGAAAGTTAAGTGACCTTCAACGATTCTTTCTTCCAGGATAAGAGTCCAACTTCTTTAGTCTACCTCACAAACCTGGTACTCCAAATTTTATTTGATTTGGCTCTTACTTAACTTTCATTAAGTTCTCCTACATTCCTCCTGAGGTTCTGATCAAAAAGCCATAAAAAGAATGAAACAATTCAGTCTCATTCATTTCTGTCTTGCTGTCTAAGCCTCTCAATTCCAGGCACTTCTGCTTTTCCAGAGTTAAGCACTATAACATCCATTATGTCTCCTTCCATAAGTGTTATCTTTATATACCCAGAAGAAAAACACAGGGCGCTCTACGTGTAAGTTATTACTGTAAGTTCAGTGTTAAGTTTTCATTACCAACATATAACTAATAAAGTAGTTGGAGATCAGTGTCCATGACTTAACGCACCAAAATCCAACTATATTCAATTTAACTAGAAGAGTCAGGAATTTAAAATCAAGTCCAAAGACAAACCCATATCCAGAGCAAACCACAACTAATTTGCTGAACCATGAAACAAATCAGAAGCAAATGCCTGGTTTAAAAAAACAGCAAATATTTTCTCAAAAACTACTAAACCAATGCAAGGTAAAAACCAAAGCTGCATTAACATTTCTTTAAAATACTGAATAAGGCAAATGTACATCATCTCTAATTTGTTCCTATCTCCCAAATCAACGTGTCACTCAAAATGGAGATGTCACTACAATCATTACAGGAAATAAATGATCCTAATAAAGAAGAGCGTAAAAGCCTGAACACAACCTGACTTTCCCACCTGACTTCCATCTTTATCAGTCCGTCTTGACCTGACGCCTAATGCTTACCCTCAAAGTCCAAACCTTAGCACTGAGTGCCACCTCTCTACCCTCCACAGCCGTGTCCTGTCCACTGCCTCCATCCCTTACTTAAGTATTAAGTACTCTAGTATTATCATCTAATTCTAGAACTTGGATAATGAGCACAGAGGGAGGATACAAGACAGAAGGAAGAAATTACAAATATCCTGTCTCCTCCAACCTCACGAAACTA